GCTTCCTGAAATACCAACCAAAATCCTCTTTATAAGCTCTGTATCCAACAACCAGTGAAAGAGTTCAGCAGAACTATGAACAAACTGTGGTGTTTACCATTTGTTTTATTAACATAACTTTGAAACATTGTAACAAGAGTTCCTCTTTATTTAACAAATCTTACGTGATCAGAAAAAACAAGGGCAAGCAGAAAAATAGTCATAGCATTTGCTCACGTCAGCAGCATACACCCATGGGCAAGTAGTAGCAGAATTAACCAATCAGAGCGAGTTCGTTGCTTTAGTTATTTTATAAAACTTTTTAAGCTTGAACTACAGCAAAATCAGTACAGTTTAATAGTTTGTAAATGAACTTCCCCTTGGGTTAAGTGCCCCTCTTCTGATGAGTACCCCTCCTTTTAGCCGAAATAAAAAAAAAAAGGCCTGGGCATTTGTTCACAGAAATAAAGTAATTAGTCAATCATTTGCCTCTCCATGGCTTGATCTACTCTAGAATGTAGAGTTTGAAGTTTACTACACTTATGCCAGTGAGCAGACTGCTTCAGCAAGCAAACAGTACAGACATCTTGGCATAGGTGGAAAACTGTCAGAGTTGTTGTTAAGAACTCCAGTAGATGAATACTTCAAGGTATGATTGTTTATTAGTAAAATATTCTGGTCACATAACTTTCCCCTAAGTTTGCCTTGTTTATTTTGAATCATTGCTCCTTCCCCCCACCCCCCCTCCTTTTAAAAAAAGAGTAACAATTTTGCAGAAGAATTGCCATCAATTTTTATTTGGAGGATGGAGGTCTTAAATACTATAGCTTTGCTAGGGGGTAGTGGATAACTTTCTCTGCAAACAGGCTAAATTAACATTGAAATTAAGATGTAACACAGAGTTATGCAATCTCTCACTTAGTTCAGTTTCAGGGACAATAATTATGAATTTTTTTTTCCAGGCAAAAGGCCCAGGTTTCAAGGAAGCTGTGCAATATTGCCTTCCCAAGATGCTTATGATGCCTGTGCATCATTGCTTGCACTACTTTGACCTCATTAAGGTAACAGCAAGTGATTTTTGTTACAGAGCACGACAAACAGAATGAGCCTAATAGGCACAAAATAATCTTAAATGAATGCTTAGGACCAAAACAAGCAAAGGCAACAGAGAATTTAGATGAAAACCATGATTGGTTTGGTCAGTTTGGTGTTAGAGATTGGGTAACAGTAATTAGGCTGTAAATCCATCTTGTGACCATAAGCTCTTCCCTACATAAGAATCAAGTGGTTAAGCAGTAGAAATTTTTATTTTTTTCAGTTGCTGCTCAGGACATCTCCCGATGAAGATGATAGTGAGAGCTTGGAGCAGGTATGATTTAAACACAAAGAATTATGCAGTATTTTGCAATTACTTGGAGTAAAAACACTCTATTGTTATCTAAGTGGGTAATCCATATCAGAAAGTAAATATTTTGAAAATGTTTTTAGGAATTGAACAGTGTCTTTGTAGGTTTCTTCACTTTTGCTCTATGGATACCTAGCAGTTTCACTGCGAGCCAAAATGTTTTTGTTTTGTTTTTTTCCATTCTGTTCTTGTGTTTCGACCAATTCTATTGTTTTAACTTGTAATAAGAGTGTAGAAAGGGCCATTTCCAAATTACTTCTGGCCTCTATTTCAAAACAAGGCCTCGTGTTCAACCTTTCCCTTGTTCAGATGTGAATGAAAATGTATTATCATATGAATGGATGAGCACCAGGACTCGCCTTCAAAAAGAGGCTAAAGGCAATTTGGAAATGGGCTATTAGCTAAGAAGCATTTATTTATTGACAGGCTCAGAGTGCTCTGGGACCCCTTCAGGCAAAGATGGAGAGAATTGTCCAGTCGTCTGGAAATATCACAAAGAGAAGAGAGTAAGTCGGGAATAAGCACAAAAGGGTTTGAGGAGGGTTGGAATTTTTCTCTTTGATTTATTTTTAAAATTATCAAGATGACAAAATTTTGGCAAAATACAACCTTTTTACTTTTTGGTAGGGACCAGTTCACAAAAGCACAGAAGAGGAAATCAGGAGCTTTCCGATCAGCAGCTGTAATCATGAATGAATTACAGAGGAATATTGAAGGATGGGAGGTTGGTGCATAGTTTGTTGTCATAGAGATGATAAAGATATCACATGCAGTCACTTGTATTTACTGAACTCATCTTTATAACATCAGGCCCATGGAGAAATATACTGAGGCGTTAGAACTGTAAAGCAGAATCAGAAATGTGATTCTTAACAGTCACAGAATCACTTGTTGTGTTTCTATCCATTGTAATACTCAATTAAATGGCTTCAAATCAACATCAACAACATCAGGCACAAGGAGGAATGTACTCAGGGGTTAAAACTATGAAGCAGAATCTAAGAGTGATTCTTGACAGTCGCAGAGCCACTTTTCATATTCTTGTCCATTATAGTAATCAATTGAATGGCTTTAATTGAACTCCATTAGCACCCTGCCCATAGTTGCCACCAGTTAAAATGTGGTTTGATCAGTAAGTAGTTATTTTGATCAATCAACCAAAGCGTACAAAATAAATAACTTTTTTCCCCAACTCTTCAGTGAAGAGAAAATTTTAGACATGAAAGATGCTTTCATCGTGCTTTCCGTGGAACATTCCTATTCGTTCAGAACACTGCTTCAGCATGGCTTGTTTGGTTCTTAAGTGGTTTTGTTTATCATTACAGGGAAGAGACATTTCACAATCCTGTACAGAAGTAATGAAAGGTAAGGTCAGTCGTAGTTAATAGGTCTTCAGCAAAGGAGGGGAACCATAGACTTGAATAAAAGAAATTATAATTTTTTCGTATCTTCTGACTGTTTTATTGAATCACTTTCTTCTCATACAGAGGGAACTCTTGGGAAAATTCATCCAAACAAAAGGGACACCGAAAGATATTGTTTTCTTCTGGATGGTCTTCTTATATGTTGCAAACAGGTATTTGCTGACTGACCTTCTTTTTCACAAAGTAAGCTATTGCCTGAAGGAAAACGTTCCTTAAAAATGATGTAATTTCAATATATCAACAAAGTTGAAATGGTAAATTGGCCACCGTTACGATTATAAAAGCTGACGTTTCGAGCGTTAGCCCTTCGTCGGAGCGAATAGAAAAATTGTGGGTTGTGTGTGCTTTTAAAGGCAGAAAATGGAGCTACGTGATTGGTGGGAACATGGCAACGAGAAAAACGCGAATAAATTAGTGGAATGAAAAGCGTTCGTTGATATCTGTGGGATTTAGACTGCCGGTTTGAAAGATGAGCTTTGGTTCAAGAGTTTTACGGCTTTCCGTGCTACCTAAAAGGAAGGAAAGACCGCAGATTGCCATATGTTGCTTAGAATGATTAGGTAAATTAAAATGTCTAGCGACTGGTTTCGATGTGTCCTTATCATTTCTCTCCACGTCGCGACGGTGTTCTCGGAATCGGTCACCTAGTCTTCTGCCTGTTTCGCCGATGTAAATCTTTTTGCAATAAGTGCAAGTTATGTCTTTCAAACCGGCAGTCTAAATCCCACAGTGTCCCCAGTTAGTGGTTGTATAACTGCTATTTTAGATTTGACACATAAATAAAAGGTTGTACAGGTATCAACGAACGCTTTTCATTCCACTAATTTATTCGCGTTTTTCTCGTTGCCATGTTCCCACCAATCACGTAGCTCCATTTTCTGCCTTTAAAAGCACACACAACCCACAATTTTTCTATTCGCTCCGACGAAGGGCTAACGCTCGAAACGTCAGCTTTTATAATCGTAACGGTGGCCAATTTACCATTTTAACTTTGTTGATATATTGAAATTATTTCGTTACCCCAAACAGTTTCTTTAGAAACTATCAGCTTTTACTTAATGATGGACAGATGAAATGAATGACTGACTCACTGTAAGCTGTAACGTGCGTTACAAATCTTTGTAAATTTCTTTGCGTCCTCTGCAGAACACCAACATGAAATGAGCAAACTTTGCGTTGTCTGGAGAACGTGAACGACGACAGATAGTTTTTAAGTTTCTATTTCTAATTTAAGGCTGTGTTCCACAATCAGTTTCGAGATAGTTTTGATAATGAGAAACAAACGAAATGACTTTAGAGTATCGCGAGATTCGTAGGTAAAATATAAGTTCATTTTTAACCGACGTTGTCCACGGCGATGCTGTCGTCGTTTCTTAAACTCTCTATTTGCCGGTTTATCAGTACCAGACTCCTTGGAGGTCTCTGACCGGCTGGCGTTGCATGCTGGGGGCCTTATATCCTCAAAGACACTCTTGTGTCCAAGCGTTAATAATGAGGCCCACTCACAGGCTAACGTAAGTCAAATTTATGGACACTTATTAATTCATTGATCAAATATTATTAATAATAATTAAAGATCTTGTTGGTTTTGCAGAATACAAGACATGCACTGACAGGTCCGTCGCCAGAGTACCGACTGAAAGAAAAGTATTACATAAGAAAGATTGAAATCAACAATCTCGATGATACAGAAGGTAACTAGGGTGTCATCATGTAATATCTTTGAAGGACAAAGTGGGGTGTGCAATTATCTGATGAACATTGGACCAAACTGGTTTCATTCCTTATTTTCGAACGGCCGTGTTTGAGTTAGAGTCAGAGTTGACCGTGGGGGAAAGGGGCAGGGAAAGGGGCAGGGAAAGGTGTAAAGAAGTCATTTCTATTGCCTCACCCCCTTCCTTTTGACTGTCGCTCACCCCTTTGGCACAAATTTTTTTTCTCTGCCCAGCCTTCCGCTGCAGTAAAAATTATAAAGCGCAGCTACAATCTTCGCTAAGAAAATACTAAGCACTAACTCGCCAAAATTACATCTGCTTTGCAGGCTATGTAAGGGATTTCTCACTTCACCTACGTGTTTTGGAATAAAAGGTTCATGGACTGAAGTTTTCTGCCAAATATCCTCGAAATTCAAAATGACTTGAAATAATCCTTAATTATAAAATTAGTTGTAGAGACTTGTAATTTAGTATGTTGTGTCGTATACTAGCAAACTCTTTCATAAATTGATTTCCCTCTTTGAACCAGATGTGAAGAATGCATTTGAGATTGTCGACAGAGACCAACCAAAAGCCGTCTTCACTTGCAAGACAGAAGAAGATAAAAATGAATGGATGTCAGTACTAATGACAATCTACATGAGAAGGTAAATGTGTGACTTTTAAAACACGATTTGCACGAGAGACGCAGTGACCTAACGGTCGGCGCACTGGACTCTTGGTCAAGAGGTCTGGGGCCGAAACCCGGGCTGAGGCATTGTGTTGTGTTCTTGGGGAAGATACTTCAGCCTCACAGTGCCTCTGGGGTGGTGGGGTGGGGGTGGTAGGGGGTAGACTGTGAGGGAGTGGCGTCACATACATCGCTTCATGCTACAAAACTGGGTTAAGCTCTGGGTGAATGGGCCATTTGGCTCGAGTGACGAATAAATGAAGGTCCCGTCTCCTGCAGAGTTGGGGTAGGAGACGTTAATTTCCCACACACGAGATTACTGTGTGATGGATGTCCTCCCCTGGGGTGGGATGGGTGGGAAGGTGAGATCGATGGACTGAAGCGGCTGCCAGAGGCGCCTGTTACGCTGACATCTGTTCTTAACCTTAAAAAAACTGCACCCGTAATTCAGCCTCTGGGCTGCAAGTGGTCAGATATAAACTTTATTACATATTACATATTGATACGAGTGCACCTTTTACCTTTATTAATGACTGGTTTTTCTGTCTCTCCCCAGTACTTTGGACCGGATGTTGGACCATCTTCTGTTGGAAGAAGAGAAAGCGATTCCTCTTAGAATGCCGAGTCCTGATGAATACTGGTTAGGTTCTTTCACGAAATGCCATCGTTTGCATCTTACTGCTTATGGTTGGAAAAATCATTTGTGGAGTTTTTGGATATTAGAATTGAGTTTTTTAAAATTTTGAGAGTTTCATTTCTCTTTTAGTTTTGCTGTCGAAGACGCCGAAGACAACATCGTGTTCGAGGATGGACAAGGGGTATGGATGAAAAAATTGTTAACTGCTACACTCGCTCTTGCCTTCTGTATTTAAATTTTGTCAGCAGCCAAACTGGCTTCAAACCAGCACAGAAAACATAAGTATAGTGTTGCTCTGTAGCTTTCGTTTGAATGGTTTTCCACCAGGGTTTTATCCATACACAGTGGAACCCCGCGGTCTTACGACCACCTTGGTAATACAGTCACCTCGTTATTACGGCCTGTTTTTTTCTTTTTTTTTTTTTCTTCTCAACCCGGCAAAACGGCCATAACTTTTCCTATGAAAAACTTTCTTTGAATGCGATCGCTCTTAACAAGACTAACGGCCAAATTTTAAAATCCCAAACAGTAGATTCCTTAATAATATCACCCCGTTATTGCGACCTTCAGCCCCTGCATTTAGAAAACCAAAACGCCTGTGACGGGTCCAATTTCATTGATCTCTATCATTTACTAATAGAACAGCCGATTAAGTAAGTAACTAGGAAAGGAACTCTCCTCCCCGTTTCCATCACAAACATGACAAAGGAAAGAAATCTTTACGCTAACATCCGCCTAGACAAATTAAGAAGCGATAATTAAATTTCTCCTCGCCTTGGTAACACGGCCACCCCGTTAAATCGGCCAAGTTGTATTAGCCCATTGGTGACCATATTAACGGGGTTCCACTCTATTTAAGATTCTGAGCTTCTCCTTCAGTTTGATAAACAGTACCACACAACGAAAGCGTTTAGTAGATAGCACTTGACCGGTCACACCCAAGGGGTTCCTTATATAGAATGTTATCTAAAACCACCCGGAACAGCTTAGAACATAGAATTACAGTGAAAAAACTGCTCTGTAGCTTTCACTGGAAAGTTCTTAATAGGATTTCAAGATTTTAGTATTGGAGTATTTTAAAAAGTTTTTCTTTCAGTCTTCATAACATCCTTTTTAGTTTGTGGTCTAAACGGCTGATCGTTTGTTTTCACAGAGCTCGAGTAATGCTCCGGTCATCAAAGGTGGAACATTGATAAAGTTGATTGAAAGGTTGACTCATCACAAGTATGCGGGTTAGTTTCATCCTCGCGGTTTTATCAGTTTTGACACTGAATATAAATTGGTGGGAAGAATTTGATCATGAAGGCTTAGTACAAGTTCGTATGTGTTGAAATAGAGCTCTCTTGGATTGCAGTGGTTTTGCTTTTCTTCGAAACGTGATTGGCTCAAAAGAAAAAAAAAAGCTTGCGTCACCCTCAACCAGTCAGATGCAAGACTTAAACCAATGGCAAACGTGTCTCTCGCATTTTCCCGCGCTTTAGTAATTTTTCTTCGTATTTGAGCCCTCATTGGCCCGTTGAGAAGTGTTGCTATGTTCTTACAGGCAATTGTGATCAACCTGGTTTTGGTTTTTGACTAGTTAGTACGAAAACGTTCCTTGAAAAGCCATGTGAACACTTTAGCTACAACAAGAACGAAAAATATTAAAGGGAAGAGTAAGTTTATGATAGCATCGCTTGTTAATGCTTACTTTTGCTAACCTTCTCTTTTGTTTTATTTTGCTGCAGATCCAACCTTAGTGAGAACTTTCCTGACAACTTACAGATCATTCTGCAAATCAACAGAGCTCTTAGATTATTTAATTCAGAGATATCCTTTTATATAAATCACGTTACACTTTGTGTAACATCCAAGTAATAAATGTTTACAGATTCATTCAACGTGTTTTTATGGCATCCAAAAGATTCTTCTTTGCCTCTGTGAAGTTGATCGCTTTGATTTAAAGATGCATGTTTCAGTTATAATGCCAGCGTTTCAGACAAAATTAACAGTGGTGTAAAACAGTTATGAAGCTTTAACAATGTCTCACGTTTGAAATACCTGAGCCTCCCCCTAGCGAACTAGATGAATTAGCCATGGCCAGGGGGGAGCCCGTTGTGCGTGAAGACCTCAACAGATTCAGGAAGGAATATGCCCAACCTGTGCAACTGAGGTAAGTGTTTGAACGAAGAGAACAGCTTTTAGGTATTCTCCGTCGCGCCGTTTTTTGGGATATCTCGCGAGGAAACGTTGCGTGACATTCAAAAGAACGGCAGCTCTTTTGTGAATCTTTTTATCTCATTGTAATTTGAGATAATTTTTTTTTTATCTGATCAGAGTTTTAAATGTTATTCGTCATTGGGTGGACAACCACTGCTATGATTTTGAACGCGATTCGCAGCTGTTGACGAAACTCAACGATTTCCTGGAGACAGTCAAAGGCAAGGCCATGAGACGTTGGGTGGAGTCGATAAAAAAAGTTATCGCCAGGAAGGTAGCAATATTTTTTTTGATTAATTGTAAATGTGGGCTCGATTGCCAACTCTTTCTTTTTCATTCAATAAATGTAAATGATCATTTTTTTTTTCCTTTTCAGACGAATTCCGACAATGATATTGCTCCAGAAATTACATTTGAGAAAGAGCCGCCTCCGATAGAATGGCATATAGCAGCTTGTAACGATATCGAAAGATTCGACCTCCTCACCGTACGTTATATTTCTGGATATTTTTTCGGTGTCGTTAATAATGACCTATGATGTTTCTAACGTTTTTACTCAAATACAAATCACGTGTCAAAATTAACGTGGGATTGTCTTAGGTTTCCATCTCTACGCGCTGCTATTGGCTAAATCAAAATTTTGCCCGCCTTCGTAGCCAATCAGACACATAACTAGAACTTATCACGATTTGATCACGTGCAATTTCCCGCGCTTGAAGGCTTTCATTTCATTATCTGAATTCCATAGTCTCCATATGATCTCTCCGATTACTCTGAATAGCCGTTGGTTTTCAGTTTTACGACAGTTAGCCAAATAGTTCTGAAAGCAGTTGATTTTATCAGTTTTTTTTTTCTTTCCTCTTTTCAAGTCCTTTCCCATTGTCAACTGTAACTATTGTTTTGACTAAAGTAGCGTCTAGCAGTTCTAAAATACTGACGTAAAGGTTTATTGATGCTGCAAACACGATGCGCATTTAAAGGTAATGTTTAATTCCTTGATAATTTTCCTTCAGCTGCATCCAATTGAGATTGCTCGGCAGTTAACCATCATCGAGTCAGAACTGTACAGGTAAATACAACAAACTTCCTTTATTTTTGGGATGATTTGATTTTAGCTTCTCCCGCATAACTATCAGTTGTCCATTTTGCATTAT